GGCCGCCGCCCGCCCTCCCCGCCCCGGCGGCTTTTCCCTCCCCGCGGCCGGGCCCAGGGTCGCGGTTTCCCCCGTCTTGGGGCGAGGTCAGGGAGAGGGTGCTGGGCCCGGCAGGGCGTGCGGAGGGTTTCCCTCGGCGGGCGTTTGGCGGGGTGAGCAGCAGCGCCCTCACACCAGGGCTGTGACCTCGAGTTGTGTTGGAGCGTCCAGGGGAGGAAGCGCTTGCAAGGCTTTTTCAGACAAGCTCTGTCCTTTTTCCACAGCCGTTTCATCTCTCCTGCTCCCCCTCATCTGACTCGTGGAGCAGGGACAGTTTCCGTCAGCAGCACAACTGACTGCCCACTCCTCACCGCCGACAGGACATCAGCTTTTCCCCACCCAGCATCTGACAGTCAAGTGAAACTCAATAGTTCCAGCTCACGAGCTTGCCCCTTTCCTATCAGCTTTGTGCCGATACTACAGTCACAGCCTGAGATGAAATGTCAATGGCTTTCTGCTCGTGGTAAAGCGCTGCGTGTTGGTCACCTGCTCTGTCACAGCCGCTCGTCACTAAAAGCAGGTCTGAGCGCAGGAGCGGGGTGTAAGAAGCAGTTGCTAGAGCCTTCACACCCCCGTCTGTGCGGGGATCACGGAAGGCAGCGAGACACCTCTCCCTCACACACCCTCAGCTGCAGCCGAGGGCAGGTCTCGCAGTGGCTGCTGTCCAGGAACAGCCACACCAGCCTCTCCCGCTTACCGGGCTGTTGGGTGTCTTTTCTTCCTTGGTACAGGAACCCACCGTCTTGGCACAGCATGAAAGCGCTGAATCAGCTGGCATGAGGGAGCAATGTTGAAGCCGATCCCAGACTTCAAAGAACTTTTTGCTTTTATCCCTACCTCAGCCAGAACACAGAGATCTTTTCACCAGCTGCTTTTAGTATTTCAGACCAGAACAAGGGTCTGCCTCAGTTTCAGGTACACCCCACCACGTTAAACCCATCTAGCCTCAAGGAAACAGCAATGCTTAGAGTTTCTTCCTGCAAGGTAGAAATACAGTTCTCTGGTCAGAGAGGAGAATCCTACATATAGAGAAATTAACTGAAGTAGTTCAGTAAACAGACTATTTGTTTAAACAAGACTTTATTGAAGACACTTCAGAAGTTTATGTACAAAACAACATTCCCACCCTCGTATCAGGCTGCTAGTCACCCACTGGGAACAAAGCAAGTGTCTGGGGACACACTCAGAGGTTGCTGAGGAATTTACAGAAGTGCCAAATTCATGTAGTTTAGAGCTGGGCAATTTCAGCCTTGGCTCAGTTAGGACTGAAAGAAACCAAAGGATCTTTTCCAGACACGTGTCTCCAGCAGACTGAACATACTGGAATCTGACGGCCTGCACTGGCCTTACTCTGAGGTCAGGTCATTTACTTCTGCAGAGAGCGAGAGGCCCGCTTTGGTTTTGGAAGTGAAGAGGAACCAGCCCCTGGATTTAACTTGCAATTTTTAATCTGCTTTAGATGGTTCCAGGAGATACCCATCACTAAGAGAACAGTAGTATTTGCAGGAAGCATTAGAACAGAGCAGTAGCAATACCAAGTAGAAGAGTCAGCCACCTCACTTTCCAAATACACCTAGAGAGAGGCTGGATATCGGACTGGCTATTTCAACTAGCTTATAAGAAAACCCTAGAGACAAAGACATTAGTGGCACAAGTTCAATAGTGACTGACATGCTGTTTCTGTAGTGTACTGCGTGCTTCTACCACGGTAGAGTTTCCCCCTGCCAGTCCAGGAAGGAACCATTTTCTTTTTCACCAAGACGGTCCATAACGGAGAGAATACCTGGGATAGCCTCTTGCACCTGCATGGGAGCCTAGAGCAAATCAAGAGGAGATTATTACTGGGAATATCCTACAGAAGAGAATCACATGCATTTCAGGAGTTACTAGAATCAAGTGGGATGTGTTTTCATGTTTCATAGTGTGCCTCTGCAACACATGGAAGTGTATGCTGTACAGAGGGTTCTTGCTCAAGGGTTGGGACAACAAGGGAGTCATGCTTTGACATTTTCAGAGAGATGCCTCTTACCATGTTTCCGCCCATGTCTGTCTGAAGCCAGCCTGGATGCAAAGAAATACAGAGAATTCCATCCGATTTCAAGTCTGCAGCAAGACACCTGGTGATCATGTTCAGTGCAGTCTACAAGAGTGGAAACCATCTATTAGTGTGCTAGTTTTACACACGTTGAGCAAGACCTTAAGCCGAGCTGACTGGCACCTCCCTTCCACCATGCTGTCTCTTGATAAATGAAAGAGCAGTAGCAGTTATCTCATCCAGACTTAGGGGGGGGCCTCATTCTCAGAGATACCTGTTAAAGAAGCACTGTGAAAGCTCTATTGCCATAAGCTTACTGCCCAAAGATGAAACTAAACTATGATGGAAGATAAAGTAGCATTTGAAACTCCGAAGGAACTGTGGGGAAAATAATATTGACATAAGGACTCTGTTTTTCTGCAATAATCACTACACAAACATTCAGTTTTTCACTTCCGAACAGGGAAAACAAGCATATTAACAGCTTATGAGTAGGTGGTGTAGGAGAAACTGTCTAATCTTGACTATTCGTACAAACTCAGTCTCTGGATGTAACAAAACTTAGAACTCCACCTCTCGCTGATTAGCATCACCACGTACAGGTCAGCACACCTTTTGTTGAGTTTCATGCCTGCTATCTTGCTTCGACCGGAGAGGAACACAGCTGATAGGACACATGCTTGATGGCATCAGTTCTTCCCTGAATGCCAAGTCCCTCTGGAATGGATCTACATCAGCGTAGCGATGGAGCATTTGCGAGCCTGTTCTTAAAAAGTTGGCATGCTTGCTCCAGATGTACGGTTTTCACAGATCCCATTTCCACCCACATGAAGAACATGAACAGTTCCTGTGGCAGCCTCTCCAAGGAGATGCTGCACACCTCACATCGTCATCTTAAGCTCAGAGTGGTCCTTGACACACAGCCTGCCCTCACCGGTGAGCCCAGGGAAGCCCACAAACCTTTGCTATCCTGTAAGGGTAGACCTTGAGGAACATCTCATTTGCCTGGACGAGTTGCATGGAGGCAGCAAGAGAGGACATATTGATAATAGCAGCTCTGTGGCAGCCCATTCCTGTGCTCAGCTGGGCTGCCTTCCTCAGAAGGGGTAGAAACGCCTGTGAAAACAAGAGTTGGTTTTAATTTGGTCAGCTTGCTCTTGGCCTGTTCAAGGCAAACCAGACTCTCAGGTTCCGCTCTATGAAGACTTGCGGTACAACTCTCTGCCACCAGCACAGAATGGTGAGGGTTCCCCAGACAAGCTGGCCAGAGGAAACCTTTCTGTAACAGCCAGCTGTAAGTAACAAGGACATTCAGCCTCTTCTGCCCACCTCCTAGCCCAGCCTGTCCACTGAAGTGACCTCATACCAGATGGATTTAAATAAAGAGGAAGATCCTTGATAAAAGGATCTCGCCGCTCTCTAGGCATGTGGTTTGATATCAGACCTGTGTCTGTGCAGCTCCAAGGTGACAAATGCTTCGGTCCAGTTCACTAGTGGAAAATATATATATATATATATATATATACAAAATATAGTACTATATTATAGTACTTATAGTACCCTAGATAAAGTGTATTCCTCCCAGTTCTTACCTTGGTGACCATCAGCTGGGCAACTGTATTAGTTTCATAAATGGTGAGCATTGTCTCTGCTGTGACTTCTTCCAAGGAAGCGACCACATTGATGCCAGCGTTGTTGATGAGGCAGTTCAGACCTTTGTCTCCCACAATTTCTTCCACTTCCTTGACTACTTTCTTGATGCTGTTTTCACAAACCACATCTGCACAGAGGAGCCAAGAACAGCCACAGTGAACAGTGAACTGTGCGGTTCTAATGCCGGCTGTCACTATGCAACACGTGCTAAACCAAAGGTAAGGCATTAGACTCAGTGGGGACATTTAGGCAGCACTCAGAGATGGCTTTACATAGATTATGTTTCCCCAGTGTTATCTTAAGGTGAGGCTGATTGTTTTCAGCTGCTGGAGGTCATGTACAGCTACTGATCACCAAGGAGACCAGTTTCTTAAGATGCACTCAGCTGACTTTAGTTGAACATCTGTATAAGCCCTTTACTCACCCAGCTGGAGAAGCTTGATATTGCTGTATTGCTTGCTAAGCTGCTGGAGTTCCTAGGAAGAAGAAATTCTTTGGGTTATCTTATATATATATATATCTATATGTATATATGGCTATATCCATGGCTATTACATAAAACAGTTTGAGATCTGCTCCTCCAGGATTGTAACTGCCATTTCTTTTCATAACTGGGCTGAAGGCAGTGATACCACTTTATTTTCCAACCCACTGAGCAGCTTTTCTGAGAGCAAGATCAACTGCTCCATGAAACTGGACTCTTCACCTGCTTAGTTAAGATACCAGCACGCCAGATTACAGAGTTAGTTCTCTGTAGTTTGCAGTGTAACCAAAGGTCTTCCCTCCAGCAGCCACCACTGCCAGTTCCACAGCAGACCCGGGGCTCAGACTGCATCCCAAGCCAGTCATTCCCCACTTCTGTAAGAAAAGCAAAATTCTCCTGAAGCTCACCTAGTGCTAGACATCAGTTCAGGGCAACAGGCATGTTTAAGAAAAGCCATTTGGAATTATTGTTTGCAGGAAAAGATTTCCTAGCAATTTTCCCATGGAAATTCTGTTTCTCTGTACTCTCATTACCTTCAGTTCTTGTAACTGAAGGTAAAGCACATGTGAAATCATTACATACCCAGCAACTGTCCACAAGGACAGTTCTCTCTCTGCTAGATAGCTATAATTCAGTCACCTGTCTGCAACTCCTCAGTAGAGGAATGACTAGAGTTCTGGGAGAAAATTAGCACTATACTGGTGCTGCTGCTGGACAAAGTGTGTCCAAATTAGATTTATAGGCCCAGCTGAAATACTTAGGTTCCTGTGCCATGTAGCCAAGTGGGAAGCGTGGCCAGATGTAACAGATGGATTACATATTCCCAGCCATGTTTAGGGGACTGAGCAACCGTGGCCAAATGTTCCAGCTCAAGCAAATCCATTTCTTTAGGAGCCCTTTGGGAATAGGGGTCAGGAGGGCTGATTTTGAAAGAGTATTTTTTTGCCACTTGGAGATGCTTAGGGACTTCATGTCCTCTGTCAAGCTATAACGCATTACATCTTTTATCTCAGTTCATAGTCTGCAGGATTCTCTCCAGGCTTGTTTAGAAAATTTGTTCTCCCACTGAGGACAATCTACAACTGCAGTTAAGGCTATTAAGGGGAGGGGAAGGAAGAGGAACAAGTCAGAAGCACAAAATCAGATGACATTCCTTCCCTTGGATAGGGCTTAATGGGACAGTTTTCAACAGATTAAAGGCTCAGAACACATGATCTCATTTATTGATAGTCAGAAATAGTTCTGCCATGTCAAGGCCTGCAATAATTATGTGGCTTTGGACCGTCCACTGGACTTTAGCTTGACAGTATCATTTACTTGATAATAAACTCCAGAAGTTCTCTGGCTTCTCAAGGTTTGCTCATTTATTTATAGTCAGATTGCTTTACTCTCTGACAGAAACAAGATACTAACTTTTACTAAATGGCCAGAGTTGTTTCATGTAGCGACAACAACTGAGAGGCTTCTGAAGTGAGTAAGCAAGATGTTCAATTAAAAACTCCAAACACTGTAGCATTAAGCATTCTCCGGGATGTAAACAGCATGAAATTACAATTGCTGCATGCAAATCAGGTTTAAAATTCAATGGGTTTTCCATTTAGTTAATTACTTAGTTAACAAGTGACTCCCACTTCAGCGGTTTAAGTTTCTCAGAGGCAGCTTCCAGGCATAAAGCTGACACCTTTGGTCTTCAAGAATGTTACTTCACCTGATACAAAGAGAAGCTACAAAATCCACTTAGGAAAGCTAAAAATTGCAGAAAAGTCTGTTCTTTTTGATCTTGTGACTAGAAGGAACATGCAGAGAGGAGGACCGAGACAAGCTGGTGGCACTGCAATCTGATACAGGCGTTTCAAGTCACCAGCCATGTGTGGTGCTTCTCCTCTTCCCCCCCACCCCAAGTTGTTTTGATCAAAGAGATCAAAAACCTCCTGTGTCCAGAGAGCTCTGAAATAGTACTGCAGGATGCGGATACTAGTTATTGACTCCCCACTGACGGGATAAGCTTTCCTGAAACTCACTGTGGTCATCTGTCAAATGTCTTGTTCTCCCCTCCATTAAAAACAAAAAACCAAAACAAAATAAAACAAAAAAACCCACATCAAAACAAGACCAAAAAAAAAACAAACCCCACCCAAAACAAAACAACAAAACCCAAACCTACACCACCAAAGTTGTCTGCATGGGGTTTTTCTGCAGCAGACTTGTGCTCACTTTTTTTTTATGCCGACCTGCTAGTGCAAAAGAGGCACTGTACCCAGGAGAAATGGGTTAAACCCCCCTGGGAAGACCAAAAAATCTCAGAGCAGTCTCCCAGAGCCAGTACAGCCCATAATAGCAATGCATCCATACGAACAAGTGAGCTCACTGGGGCTGCTGTTTGAAGCACAGCTTGTATTTGAATGTCAGTTTACTCAGTTTCATTTAAAGACAGTAGGTACAGCCAACATATCCCAGGCTAAGTCATCATTAGATAGTGTGCTGTGACAGCCAATTTAAAAACAAACAAGACAAACAAAACCAACAAAAAAACCACCGCACAAGCCCCTAATACTCTGTTTAGTCTAGTAGCTCTAGAAGTGCTCCACACCTGAATAGTTACCCCTGAGAATCAACTCTTAGGAATTCCAAGAAAAATTTAAACTCTGATTAGCATCTGTTGTTTCCTGCTTGCTGATTTTAATTACGATTAACAAAGAGTCAGCCTACTCCAATTTAAACAAGATCCTCTGGCACTCAAGGCTCCAGATACAGATTCATCAGTACACAGGATATTTATTGCTAGATTTCAACCAGGAAAGTTATGTTGACTTCGTCAGTCAGCAAGATTTACTGGCCCAGTTGGAAGCAATCAAGCCAAACTAACAAAGCCTGTAGACAGCTTTGTCAGGCAAAGGCTACTTGGGTATCCTTTCACATCATCCTGCTTGCACTCAGGACAAAGTCAAAGATGTAACATATTTGCCCGTGTTTCTCTGAGACAGTATCACAGTGTACAGCCAACTTACTGTTTGATTGTGTAATAGCTTACACCAAGCTGCTGCAGACAGCCCCAAATCCACAGCCCTCTCCGATTCGAGAAGAGTCAGGCCTTAATGCTGTAGGACCTAACACTGCAATAACCCAAAATTAGAAAGTCTTCGGGAATGCCCCCCTTTGCCCGATACAACACATCTATCTTGCTAGAGCACTGCTCCAGAGATTGCTCAGCTGCTCTTCCCAATAGCAGACCACATGGCATGTAGCAGAGAAAAAAACAAAAACAAAACCTGACAGAGACAGTGTGCAGAAGCACTTCAGTGGGAGCTCTGTGTCTGACAAGGGAACAGACACAGCACTGTTAGTAACACTATCTCCTACTTCAGAGGAAGGGAAACAGCACATTAAGCCCTGGAAGCTTTCCAGAGCCCAGTAGAGGACTCTTGAGCAGCGAGGAACTGAACGCTTTCTTGTTCACCTGGGAACAAACTTGGGCTTGCGGGGAGAGCAGGAGGAACAAGGGATGCTCCTGTCCTGAGGCCCCACATTCAGCTCTCAGCACAGCCCAGGAGAGCCAGGCTGAGTTCTGGAAGCACTGTGAACACATCAGCACCAGGGCCGTTTGGATCCCCTTCAGCTACCTCGCTGGCCCAGAAAGCCATCGCTTCTTCCATTACCCCAGCAAGTTAGAGAGGGGACTGCAGAGGCTACACCATCAGTAGGTGTAGCCTTGAGCTTTGGGTCAGAGTTCTTCCCCTTTTATGGGGAAGAAAGAGAAAGAAAGAAAAGCAAGAGGGGGGTGTGAGGGGGTGTGTGGAGAATTACAGATGGGTCCATGAGCCCATCCAGGCTGCCTGATAATAACCGTACTGTGGTTTTGTCCATCTGGAGTGCAAAGACAGGACGTCAGGATTGTTTTGCAAGAGATTTGTAGCTGCTTCCACTCTCAGTGCTGGAGCAGCCCAAGTAAAGGCAGATCAGAATCTAAGTGTGGCTGAAGGAGTCTAGTATGGTGCTTTTCAAGGAGGGGCAGCGGTTATCTAGATGCGCCTGCAGGCCTGCTGCATGTTATCATGTGATCTAAAGCCCATTTGTTAGGCAAATGTTCTGTGGAGGCCACCTAGGAGCTATTCAGCACAAGAACTCAAGTTATTACAACTTCTGCCAGCACAGACTCACATGCAAAAGCTTGCAGCTGTTGAGCATTATCCAGGGTTAGCAAGTTACGGGAGACGTGCAGCTTTCCGTAGTAAGCAGAGGAAAGCAAAGTCAGACTCTTCGCCAGCATCCCTTTCTAAAGTCAGGTCCTGAGGGGCTCTTGTCTGCCCATTGTTTGGAGAATTCCGAGGTATGCAGTCATCTCTGTGACAGCCACACTCTGCGAGATTCTCTGGATAACTCTCAGCTACCGGGGAATTGCTGCTGACTGTTGTCCCCAAGATGGGCACAGGATTTGCCAGTAGCTAAGCATATTTAATTGCTTTTCCTCTAAAAACTGGAAGGTGATGTTTAAAAGGCTTTTCACTTAAGCTCTTCGCATCCTTTTCCCCTCTCCCTGCATTCTGCAACAGAAAAACGCTTCATCTACCAAGCCAGATGAAAGCAAAATTTAATAGAACTGTCCAAAGTTGCTGTTCTCCAAATTCATCCTCTAATCCAGAGGAGGAAGTCGGGGAGCAGAGCACTCACATTAAGCAGGATATTTCATACAGTCACTTACCACAAAGCAAAGTGGGAGGAAACAAAATTAGACCGCTTGAATCACCGTCAAGAGAAAAAAAAAACAAGCACTGACAGCTCAGGTGTGCAGAGAAAGAACGAGTCACTCAACTTTACAGCCCAGTCTGCACGGTCAACCAACTGGTCTTAGATGGGCAGAGCCCCATTCCACGTGCACTAAACCAACCTCTGGAGTGCAAGAACCCCAACTCTGGGTTTTTAAGATTTGACTGGAAAGTTAGTGAAGGCAAAGTTTTCTCTCTGGGAAAGAAAAATTTTAAAAAAGAGAAAAAAAAAAAAATCACTCCGAACCTTTGCCTTTCCTTACCATACCACACTGAAGCAACGATGCCAGATGGGATCCAAGGTTTGAGACAGTTGGATACGGTGCTGAGCCCCATTGCCAGAGGCTCAGGCACGTCCGTGCTTGCCCTCTGCCAGCTGGAAGGACCAGCCACATGGTGGAAACACACCTCAGAAGGTCAAAGGTTTGTGCCAACTTCCGCATTGCAGGTGGGACAGATAGCGCTAGTGAGACTACTACAATACCTTTAGTAAAGATTTTCCTTCCTTGTGGCGTTTCCAGACCCATCTGTTAGAAATATGCTTTCAGCTGCCTGCAGAGGTTTTTATTGATGTACTGCCAAAGCGCAGCACATGGCCTAGAGGTCCTTACAAAGAACAAAAACCCACCCTGATCCACCAAGGACAAACCTTGCCCCCCCCCTCACCAAAAAAAAAAAAAAAAAAAAAAAAGCTTAGAATGCATCCCATGTGGCCTGCAGGATCACCACTCGGGGTTACTGGAATGTGGCTCCTGGCCAGCTTCCTGCCTACATGAGACGCGAGTACCAGCAGTCTTTCCAGGTTTCTACTGCTGCAAAGGAGGAGTGACCCAGACTCTCCCCAGGCACACTGCACTCTTTGAAGGCTATTTCATCTTCTGGTGCAGGTTTTACCAGCCTTTTTGCTCCAGATTTTTAAGTATCGGGGACACGAAAAACCTCACGAGTTTGTTAAGATAACGTCCGTGTAATGTTTCCTAGGAAGCTCTTCCTATTGAAGGAACCATTTCACTTCTCCATGTAATTGATCCAAGAGCATTATAATGAGAAGTCGCTGCTGAACACAGGGCCAATTAGTGAAAAAGAACCTCCCTCAGCACCGGCTAAAGCAGCTTTAGAACAAACAACTAAGCGGGGAGATTTCTATCTAACAACAGGTCATATGTCTCTGCTGGTTTCCTGTACCACTACTACACCATGCTGTTGTGCAATCACTAATAGGAAATACATCTGGGACGAATGCCAGATCTTGTAACAGGAGTTAAAAGCGAAGAGAATGGCAGTGAATACCTGCTCAGGAGCTCCTGTAGTGCAGAAGGGGGGCTGAGGGGGGGGAGCTGCAGGAACCGGTGGCTCTGAAAGGCAGTCTGTGCACCAGATTTCAGTCTTGCTGGACTTTTTCTCAGCAATTCGATTCAGAAATAATCCTAAATGTGCCTTTGTGCTGGAAAGGTAGGGGTTTGGGTTTTTTTTGACAAGAAACACAATTAAGACCTTTTCCCTCAGTTCTATAAGTACCTGCAGAGCCGTTCTCTGCCCAGCCCTGTACTACCATCCTTGAATGAAGAGCCTCAGCACCAGCTCTTGAAGTTTTTGTGTAGCTAAGCAGTAAACTAAGTTGCTACGTTTTGTTTATTGCTAGCATGGTGCGATCACAGTTTGCACCGAAAAGAATAAAATCCACCATAAGGGAACAGAATCAGAAACTCTGTTTACCTCTGCACATGCCAGGGAATTTGTCTTCTGCTAAGGCAGCCTGCAAGAGGGGAGATGCACAAGTAGGGCTTTTGGTATCAATTCTCTGACCGAATGTCTGTGCCAATACACAGGGGTTTGAGACAGTCACAGAACTGAGAGCTCTGATTCTTGCAGCTCCGGAGCTTTCCTAGGGAAGGAAGAGGGTGATACCTGCGTGTATCGTGGTGCTGCCCCAGCATCTGCCTTACTGAGCGAGTCAGGATCAGACTGGAGATGCAACAGAGGACACTAGTGGTCACTAAGCGAGCAGAATGACAACCTTCATTATCGATTTGCCTCCCAAAGG